TTTTTCTGTTAAATCCAATAAAAGCAACAGGACTTTTCTTTTTTATACATTTCTCTCTTTTTGTTGTTGTTGTTCATTTTTTTTAACTATTTTTGTTTTTACTTTTAAGGTTTGCATTTCAGGTTTTTTTTTTGTTTTGTTTCGGTTTTTTTTTTCTTTTTCTTTTCTTTTTTCCTGGCATATAATCATCAAAGAGTTTTGCATGAGAAAGGTGACAGTACTTAATGAAACTCAGCACCTAAGGGCATAAGGCAGTTGTAGGTTTGTTTGTTTGTTTTTTTTTTTTTATTTTTCAATCAGCACCAATCCCATAAATAATGTTCTACACTTGGTGTACGGTATAAAACTGATGTGGAGATGCCTCCTTCTCCACCTGTGAATCCTAGGTGTGGAAGTTGAAATACTGTTTCTTGTGTGTAAAAAACAAAAGAAAAGTTTTTCTTTTTGTTTTTACTTACAAAACATAGAGAATATCTTTTTTTTTCTTTTTTTTTATACATACAGCAACCAGAAAGAAAGCTTATCTGAAGGTTTGTGTTTGTTTCATGATCTGTGTTTACCGTAAACAAAAATAAGGTCCCCTCTTTTACTTTTGCTTTAAGGAGCTTTTAAAGTGAAGATTCATATTGTAGCAACTCATATAAGAGAGGTCCATCTCTATACCTAATACCTACAGCTGTGGGGGTGACATATTGGAGGATGTTGATAGTTCTTCTTAACCTCCTGTCTACAAAATGAGCATCCCAGGCAGGATATCTTTTTCTTGGGATGTCAATCTTAATGAGAGGCCCCTCGGGGGGGTAGGGTCGCCCAGATGGAGTAGATGGAACCATTGCTCTCACCTGGAAAACGGGCAAGCAAGTGTCAGCTGTGAGTTCCTCCTGTTGCTCCGTGACCGCTCTGGTGGGCGTAGCCTGGGCCCCCCGGTACCCAGGGGTTTGGGGCGCCATGGGCTCAACATCGGGGGGCAAAGGAATGCCCCAGAGCAGCTCGGCGCAACAGGAGCTGGCAAAGATCTTAGCTCTTGGCCCCATGGGATGCAGCACACCATAATATAACAGCATCAGAGCTATCCCAGCAGCAAAGCTAAGAAAGACACAACACAGTGCTGGCACGGCATATGAGTCAGTGGTGTCGGGATCTCTGTAAAAATACCAAAGGAGCGTCAAGGTCGCGTTCTCCGTCAGGACCACCGTGTAATACGCAAACATTCGGTATCGAGTCCGCCCTTCCTTGACATTAAACCAGCAGAAAATGTACACAATCCCTACCACCATGTTGAAGAGGATCTCCTCCCACTTAGACATGCAGAAATCTGTCCCACCATGGATGATCCAGAAAGCCATGGCACACCAATGGACCACTACAAAGATCCCAAAGTAGAGCTGGAAGATGGAAGCAAAGAGAGCAAAAGAAATAACTCGGGATGAGATGGTGAAGATGCGCCAGAAGAGATGGATGAGGGCCCCTCTGTAGCTCATACTCTTCTTGTCGTCCCTAGAGTCCCGAAGAAGCTTGTGATAGGAGGCTAGCACCCAAGCCAGGGACATCAGGGAGGCCACAGAGGACACACCTGCCGGAAGACACACAGATCCACTGGGTTAGACAGGAGGTTTGGTTGAAAACATCATCTGCTCACTAAATTATTGCATCGGGGGGCAGGCTCGGGAGCCTGAAGGTTCAACTCACGTCAGGTTGTCCTTACAGTCTGGAGGAGAGAAATACAGAAATATCAGTGTGGGAATCAGAAAGGATGCTGCATTCAGGAGTTCTCTGACATGCTGTCCCGTTCTCCATGAGCCACTGGCTCTGCCACCCCATCCCAGCTCTTCTCTTTTATCAGGGAACAGCCCCCGTGCTCATCCTGATTGGATCCACATCTGAGAATCTGAAATCCAGATCCCACCTAAGTGCTTCATCCCAAGCATGGAGGTTATTTTCTGTAGAAAGGAATCTATCTTGGAACACACCACTGCAACAGCAGGACATCCATACTCCCTGCAGCTGCATGGATTCTTTCTCACCCTAAAATACTTCTGTATGAGCAACATTCCCATTGATTCTGCCTTACACAGGAACCTCCATTTGCATTTGCCTTTGGGAGAAACAGGCAGGTTTTTTGTCCCATGCATATAAATATATAAACACAGGGAGCATCAAGACTCATGAATACCCTCCAAATAGTCCCAAAACAAAGAATCTGATCCCTTCAGAACATGCCCTGCCCTGGATGGACTGAAGACATGTATTGGAGGAAGCTCATCTCCAGCCTTGTCTCCTGGATGGACCATAGATCCAAGTCACAGTTGTGTCTCCAGCCCTGTTTCTGCTCCCGGTGTGACCCTCTGAGGAGATCTTGGATCTGGTCCACCCTTGCCCAAAGCACTCAGACCCTGAGGATTTTTCTCATCAGTGCCTGCGATGCCAACCCTGGGATCACCCTTAGCAGTCATCCCATGATTCTCCAAAGGGAACTCAAACCACCATCATCTCAACTAATTCATCATCCCAACCAACACTTCAACAATTCATTTTCTCCAAAAGATAAAACAGTGCCCCACTACACTTCAGATGTCTTTAAAAATAAAAAAAGAGACATTGATCATCACAAGGGTAAATTGAACAACTCACTGAGCAAAGCATCACAATAAAAAATTAACTGACAGATTCCTGGGAAAAGAAGGAGCCACTGGCACCTCATTCCTTTGCTCCCACTGCTGCTCACTGGACAACTCTTTTGAAAGTGAGGGAACAGATGATGGACCAAAATCCATGTTTGGGAAGTTCAGTAATTTGGTAGCTGTAGTTTGATTGGGCCTTGGCTAAAGATTTGTCTGGGAGCATCAACTATAAATACTAAAGGAAAAATGCTAATGGTTGCAAGCAAAACAAATAATAACACCTTTCTTTCTCTGATGTGTTACATATTAGAAGGTCGGAGAGGCAGAGGATGGCCTGGGTTGGAAGGGACCTTAATGATCATCTGGTTCCAACCAGCTCTTAATTTAATTTTCCTGCTCTAAAAATCCCCACGAACATCTTTCTGCAGCTACTCAGGGTTAAAAATCTAAAGTGCCCAATCCCCCTAAATTTCTTCATCTCCTGTTTTGTTTTCTCTCTTCCCACAGGGGCCTGGCTTCCCTGGGAATGCAAATAAGATCTACTTGCTCTTCAGACCTCACTCCATAGACTTTACCTTCTTTTTGAGGAGCCTACCCTACAGTGCTGTGGAGTTAGATTTCCCCCCTTCCAACCTATCTATGTCTGGAGGAGAAGTGATGAGGAAGGTGGCCAGGAAGGATGACAGAGCTCCATCTCTACCCCTCCTTGGAATTCTCAAAGCCTGCAGGTCCACCAAAACTGTGTCTTTCCATCAGCTTATCTCTCTGAACCCTTTGTCTTTGGACTCACAGCTGCTTTAGCATTTCAGACGAAATTAAAAAAAAAAAAAAAACAGAAACAAAACAACAAACCACATACCAGTAAGACCAGTGGCCTTATCAAAGAGAGAAGCTTGAATCTACCAGCTTTAAGAAAACCATGAATTCCCCCAAGTTCTAAGTCCTCAATAAGAAACAATAGTTATGGGACTTGGGGATTCTAATCACAGAATCAGAGAATAGTTCAGGTCGGAAAACACCCCTGGAGATCCAGGTGGGTTTGGAATGTCTCCAGAGAGGGAGACTCCACAACCACCCTGGACAACCTGTCCCAGTGCTCTGCCACCCTCAGTGGGAAGTTCTACCTCATAGTGAGATGGAGTTTCTTGTGCTTTAGTTTGTGGCCATTGCTCCTGGTCCTGCCACTGGAAAGAGTGGTACCATCTTCTTGGCACCCGCCTAGGAAATATTTATATGGATTTATGAGATCCCTGCTCAGTCTTCTCTTCTCCAGACTAAACAGGCCCATCTCCCTCAGTCTGGATAGAAACTTCTGAATGTGAACATCCTCAGCCCCAAGCAGATGTAGATTAGATTTATTTTTAACCTACCAGATGTGTTACATTTTTGGTAGACATAATTAACGGTTCTGGAAGGCTGAGTGATGCCACACAATTTTAAAGTAAAGAGTGTAAGTACTGTTTGTTGCAGTATCTTTTAGCTAATCAGTTTAAAAACTTTCTCTGATTGGCAGGAAAATATATGTCATTTATTGTCTTATTTTAATGCTGTTTTACTAGAAACTTGTATATTTTAGTGCTGTTTTACTGGAAACCTGTAGGGCATTAGGTGTACCTGTACCCTGAAACTCAAGCAGCACCAACCCTCAGGAGATAGATTTGTCACCCTGGCTTAAAAATGTTTCTGTTGGGCTCATTTATTCTAGAGTAGAGAGAGGAATAAAATACACATGAAACAACCCCTCAGTTTACACAGAAAGGCTTTTCTGTAAGGTTTTCAGGGCAGAACCTTCCACTAATCGCAGGCAGAGCTGTAAATTGTACAGAGCTGAGATTAGGTGTGTTGAGTCACTCGCATCGCACGGTCCCTGCCTGCTGATAGTCATCTGAACGTCTCTGCCAGTCAGCAGAGAGAGGCAGACACCCCCAGAAAGTGATTCACCCTGTCCTAAGATCCATGTGTGGGACAGGGAGGGGTTGACTCATGCTCCCAAGGTGTCTGACTCCATCCCTTGCCAGGGGAGGAGAGCACAGGCAGTCAGGCGGGATGAGTCCTACCCTCACAAACTGCTCGTTGTCTGCTCGTTTGCACCAGGATCTGAGGGAGGTAATGGAGTATCTCCAGACACTTTGACATGTTTCTGCTGTTGTTTGAAAATTCACGAGTCTGTGCTGAATGTGAGTTTTGGCATCCTAGTGATGGACCTGGGTGTGAGGCGCTGAGGTCTGGAGGTGGATGTCAGCAGCAATCGTGGGGAGATATGAAGACTTCTCCAACCCTTCCTGCTGTGCTGCCACAGAAATTATTCCCTGCCTATTTCATAAAGACTTAAATGACACAGCACTTTTGTTCGTCTTAACCGCGACTTTCTCATTCCCATCTTTCCCTGTGACATCCTCACACAACTTACAATTCTCACAGACCGTGGGACAAACTGTCTCCTTTTTCCCCCTCCACTTCTCCAGACCCTGTTTCCAACCAGCTACAGAGATCTCTCCAATCATAACTAGAACAAAAAGTCTTGGAAAGTTGGATCATATGAGAAGCAACTTTTTATTTTGATTATGAGTTTTGCACATGGTGACTGACGCACCTTCATCTACGATGAGTAGGTTTCAAACCCCCTCCCAAGGTTTGTTTATCAAAGAGATGAGGTTGAGTAAAAACTGAAATCGCTTTAGAAAACCCACTCCCACTCCTCCCACTCTGTTCTTACTCTCAGGAGTGGAACATTCCCACCGTGCACAACCACATCTGTGGGCATTCTCAAGCCAGGAGGAGGTCAGTTACTATGGGGCTGAATCAGTGGGATCTGTATCCCCCCTACCCATAGCAAGTCAGACTGGCATAGGCTGGGATTGTCTTCAGACTGTACAACAGCCTTTGAACTCCTCCTGTCACCTGCTAGGAACCGAAGAGTGACTCACAGGCCTAAGTCAGCACCACTGAGGAGTCAAGTCCCTGTGCCTTGAATGACACATCACAAGAATTAAACCCCCAGATCCCTTTAGTGACAAGCCCTGAAGTCCTCACGGTGAGACATCTCCTAACCTACATTCAGCACAGAAAGGGAGAGGTCCGTAATGTCCCATTTGACAGATGAAGCACTAAGATTTAAAGGATTTACCCAAGGTCTCCTTTAAGATCCAAATGAAAGCAGGGAATAGATCTTCACATCAAAATGCACTTTGCCAAGGCATTTCAGGCAGGATTCAGTAGAGACTCACCCCAGGGTGTCCACGCTTAAACAATGTCTCTGACTTTACTCAGTACAGAATGAGGGCTTAGTGCAACCACCACAAGTGGGAATCCAGCAACACTTGAGATGCTTTGGGATATTCCAGACCTCCATGTGGAGCTGGCAGATGTGACAAACTCGCACACAGAAGACCGGAACATTTTTGAGCTGGGAGCTGGAGTGAGGCAAGGTAGTTATGGCACCTCAAACGACATTGGGTGACACTCAAAAAGAAATTGTTTCCTTAGTCATTATGGCCAGAGCTGTCTGAAGGTCATTATTTAGACACTGTGGCTGTATTGTCTATATCTCCACTGAATACAAAGGGAGATTGGACTCCCTCTTTGCATGGAGACACCTCCATCGGAAACACCTTTGTTTAGGTGTCTTGATTTGGAGCTGAACTCAACAACTATCTCGAACTGGCTCGATTCTGATTTCTTCCCTCAGTAATTCTGCCTTTCTCAGGGGGAGCTCACGAACAGTCCTCAGTGGTGAGGTGAACACAAGGGGCACAAAGGCTGTGCAACAGTAAATGGTGAAGAGAGGTGAGAAAGAGGTGGGAAATAAGGCAGGGATAAAAACCATTGTATTTCTGACAATGCTGGACCAAGGAATTGATGCTCTGAGAAAGGGAAACAAGAGCCATTGCTTTGGATCATGAAAATATGAGTGGACTTGAGTATAATGCAGGCAGCAATTTGATACCAGAGG